AGAAATAAGACTTACTCTGTTAGAGCACTACTACCTTGATGCAGTTATGAAACTGCAGCCCAAGACACAACGCTGAACAATTAACCTTTTCTAAGTGCCTTATTAGCTCTAGAGTGAACACCGAGGAGGTAAAGTCATCGGGAAAAATGCAGTTTAAAAAGTCAATTATCTGCTCGTTCGGTTTATCAAAGCTGAGGTAATGAAATCATAGGACGGTTCACAGGGTGACTAGCACACCACAGCAAAACCCTCCCAAATATTAGTACCAAGCCCTACTGCAAGCTGCAGCAACAATTTGTATGGACTTTCTCAGAATGCCCGGAGAAGGCAGGTTTAGACACTCAGGAAATAAAGGAAGCTCAAATTTTACTCAGGACTTCTGAGACACAAATCATGCTGTTCTTCCCAACAGTAGAACTGAAAAGGCCTTTCAGAAGTTTATTAAAGAAGCACTAACAGCAAAATCTTAATGGCTCTCCTACTAAAACTCTGACATTAGGTAACACATTTTGAGTTTCCTCCATATAGTAAAGCAATATAGACATAGTCTCACTCTCCAATCTTCACTATAGCAAAAACAAACACTGAGTTTTTGGGGGTTTTATTTATTCTATGAGCATTTACTACAAAACTACAGTACAGAACAAATCCTAGAATGTTACAGGCCATCAGCAATTCCCAGATTTTTGCTGTTCCTCCACTGGCACTACTGTATCACGTACCAGTAATCCATGGCAGTGCATTTGTAGAAGACAACTGCAAGCACCAAAGGCTCGACTTCCTCGCTAAAAGCATTTCACTCTTGCTTCAGACTAGCTCTAGTCTGCTCTTACAAAACTATGTGGCTGAAGCTCATCTTCCAACCTAGTTTTTACCAAAAAAGGAATCTGGTCTGTGTCTTCTGGATGCTCTGCTTTGCATTGCAAAAAGGGTCTTGAAGCAAGGATGACAGGCATCTGCTCTGCTTCAAAAGTTCCCTCTGACCTGCTCTTTTCACTGCCTACAGGCTCTCCTCCAGCTGGAGCTGAAACAGCTCACCTGTCCAGTTGCACTTCACCAAGTCCACCCAGGGCCACAAAGGCTGGGTTCTCTAGCATAGGCAGGGCAAAACACAGTTCCACAACAAAAATGTTAGTTATTCTACACACAGAGAGCAGAGGTCTTGGCAGAGCTTATTCAATTTGACCCAGCACTGTGCCCCTGTGGTTGGAAACCCTGCCCCAAATGAGCATAAAAATAAACATCTCATATCAACGTCCACATATTCCTGCTCACTAAAGGAATCGGGAACTAGCAGTGCTGGAAGACTTCAAGACATAGGCCTTCTCTCAGCTTCTGAAATGTGTGGTTTGGCTTTGTCTTGGTTTGTTGTTTTTTCTAAACTAGTGAATTACTCTGAAAACATAAAGTCATGGCTAAACAATCCATACTTTGCATCATTACAAGGTTTTAATTTATTCTTGAAATCTGGTTCAAATGCCAGGACAGGTATGGTTGAATTAATACAAAAAGCTGTGAGAAAACTACTGAGGGCATTTTGCTGGAAATGAGCTGCCCAAGAGCCATACACTTAAACAACTCATACAACACAATATTCTACTACTTAGCAGACTTACTTAGTGAGATCTTACTTAATAGATCAACATTAGCTCCCAGTGTTGATCTGCACAACACCTCAACTCTTCATTTAAAAACAGTCTACAGAACAGAACTCACTCAGGAGACTGCGGGCACACTATTAATCTATATGCTAAAAATTGGACCATATTCACATTTTAAAATCCATTAAGACAATTATGAGGCAGAACCATTCATTGCTATGCCTGGTAATTTTCACTTAGTTGATTCATTTTTTTTGTACCAACAGCATAATAAAATTTATCTTTTGTTTTGGAAAGTATGGTTTGATACAACCTTGTAAGAATCTAGCACTAACTGCAGAACAATATGCAACAGGCCTTCCATACTGTGGACGATACTGGCTAGATGGAAAGAAATTATTAATGTTTAATGGCAGGCCTATTTAAAAACTGAGTAAAATCCATATAGCCATATTCCAAAGTCAGGTTTTCATTTCCTGCCATTCTGTAAGGATATCTGAAGATCAAATATGTAAGGTGAGTAAAGTGTTTCCAAGTTTGACAGCATTTCTACAGCTTTTCCTGCTTCTGTCAGCCCCTTGAAACTGAAGTTAACATCACTCAGTGTCCCTGCTGGCCATACCATTCTGCACAGCATCTCAAGTAAGTCACAACCATTTTCCCAAGAAGCAGCTCCTAAGAACTACAGAGGAAGTAAAGCATTATTCAAGAGAAAGAGCGATTTTCTCCCCCACTGCCTCCCACCCTTCACCAGAACAAAAATAAAATAAAAATATTGAGTTTTGGAGAAAGGTTATAGAAGTAATCTTCTCTCTCAGATCCCCTGCTCCTTAAATACAACCCAAAGATTACAAAACATCTTCAACAGTAACACCTCCCTCTTGCAACAGTCAGGACACAGAAAGATGAGGCAGAGAAACCTTTCTTTTCAGCAGAAAGAGCTAACTCCTCAGCCAGACAACAAGTAGTATCTGGAGGACAGAGAGCAATCCTCCAAAGAAGCCCTGTCAGAAGCCACATCTGTCAGCAATCAAGACTGTGAATAGCTATTATTTAGCACCAAAACATTTGTTGTCTTACTCCCTAACAGAAAGTACAGGATTAAGATTTCATTGCTGAGTATTTCTTTTACATATAAAACTAAGTTAAGCAGAACCTAGCAAGCCATTTAAAATGGCATCAAAACCACCAGATACTGAAGGTAAAAAGATGCAGGGAGCAAAAGGGATTCTTCACAGATTTCAAGGCACAAGTGTTCTTAAGAGGTCTGTAGGTTTCAGCGATGGGAATCACACCAAGCATTCCTGTTTTACTCAGCGTTTACTATCCTGCTTTTAAATACAATTTCTACAGCTTTTTTAATCTCAAAACTGCAGTTAAAAACGTGTTCCTGCACAGCCCATATACCAAAACACCTTCTCCTTCCAAGAATAGAGGGATGCACTAAAGACAAAGAGGAAAATTACTTTGGAAATGAAATTCTGAACTATTAGGAGAAACTTTCTAACACAGCTCGGTGAGACAAAGCATCACCCCGAAGGGTGGAAGAGAAATGTAACCCTTCGGACATTTAACCGCGACTTGTAGCGGGAAAAAATTAAATCTTTTCACACTCGCTGTGACCTTATGGCACATAAAAGCAGAGCTCGGTAACTTTTCCTCTCTGGCCTCAACTCAATAGCTTATTCTCTTCTCCACGGCTAAAATTTAGGTCACCCGCCCTGAAACACTCCGGGAAGGCAGGGAGGAAAACCCAAGCCCCAAACAAAGCCCCGGACCCCGGCGCAGCGATGACTCTGCAGGAGCAGCGGCGCGGAGCCGGGCGGGCTCGGGGGGGGCGGCCCCTCGGACGCCCCCGGGCACCGCTCGATGGCTG